ACTTTTAAATCCAAGTTGTTTCAGTCCAATTTCCTTTTCCATTTCATTTTACAGGTCAACCAAAACACTTGCAAATAATATTCTATGAAGCATATTCAAGTTGCATGTGGGAAGACATTTCATAAACATTAACCTTAAAACAATGGGAAGATATGCATATTTGTGAAAGTTCATTATGTTGATCAGCTCATTTACCAGTATCCAAGAAACAGGTGTAAAATATAATCAGAGAGGCTGGGATTTTACAGTTGTGTTCTTTCAATATTACAGATCAAACAATTTAGAACTGCTTTTCAAATACATACTATAATTTGTTCTCTATCAGACAGCCACAACAAGAAAAGAAAAAAAAAAGGAAAATCAAGCAGCCCCCCCACCTTCCAGCAAACCCTCCAAGTCTTGAAAAATACTAAAAAGAAAAAAAGAAAATTGAGGCTTCTTGGTTCAACAGCAAAGTTCCTGTCAACTTTTCTGAAAAAGTTAACCGTCAGTTTTGCTTGGTTGCACGAACACAACCCAGAATAGTCCAATATTTGCATTAGATCAGGACAGTCTCCCTGAACCTGTAATGACGTGGTAGTGAAGAATGTACATGTAAAACAGGTCATCTATGGTTGTTTAAAAAAAAAAAAAAAAAAAAAAGAGCAAACAAAAATCTTCCCCAAGCTGTTGGCTATTCTCTGTGTGTCTTAAATAGGGATCTTCTCAAGTCCCAACTAATTTGACTGTAATTTCAGCCCATCCAATAAAGATAGGTTATTGATGGATTAAAAAAAAAAAAAAAGACAAGGAGTTAGCTCCACCCATCATCTTTTAGAGCATTATGGTAATTATCTTGGAAGGCACAATTACAAACACTCAACCTAAAAAAGGCATTTCAGAGGCAGAGTAATTTTTTCCATTCTGCCTGTCCATATAGTAGCTAATTTTTATCACAGAACTCTAATTTATATTTCATTTCTGAATATAGCCAAAACCAAGAACTGAATTCCCAAAAAGAGCTGTCTAGTGTTATGACTGGAGAGTTCCCAAATGCTGTATTAATGAATCAGTGAAGAAGAAGCAAAAAGATTGCCGTAACACAGCAGATTTAGCAAGGATCATTAAACCTCATTCAAAGCTTAAAAAGAGTTTTGGCTGACTGTTCATGGAAAGCCTACAGAATCAAACCGGAAAAGTTACGCTCATCAACGTACAGTACACCTAATCCACTGACAAATGAAAGCTGGAGTCACTGGGAATAAACTAACCTTTTCTAAATGATATTGCTGTTCACCATGAGTAACAGGTAAATACAGGGATTAGAAGAGTCTTCTCTGAAGCCACTTTGGAAGAACAGATTCTGGTTCCAAAAGATCTACAAGTCTATTTCAAAAAAACATCACAAGCACAGTAGCCAGAAATAAATTAATCTTCTCAGAACTGTAAAAGCTCAATCACGCCTTTTTTTTTTTTAAAAAACAAAAAAAAGTGCTTGTTTGCTGTCAATTCCCACCACATTACAGCATATCCAGCTTATCTGGAGAGCTTATTTCTGGGTGATGACTCATCTAATAATTAGCAATTATTCATTAAACGTTTTTCCCCCCTTTTTGTTACTTAGAAAAAAGCTATAACAGACAGATAAATAGGTAGAGGTGCTGCCTTGTTAAGAAGGTTGTCAAATCATAAATGAAAGTCACTATAACTTTAGTGGAAAGAGGAAAAAAGCCATTGTGGCTTTGGATTCTTTCCATCCTAGCCTCTTCCTTCACACTGGGTTCACCTGCTTTGGCACCAGAGTTATGTACAAAGCTAAATTCCAGTTCTTCCAACTGAAAAATTACCAAAAGTCAAACAAAAGTCACTTCAGTTTCTTTTTCCACTGCTGATCTGGCCACATCTGATAGTGCTTTTGTCAACAGCATATGTGTTCCTGCAAACAAAGGTCTAGTTACACAAAGGAGAATTACTTCAGCCATTTTAAATTCTGGCTGCAGAATTTAAAAAACACCTAACTGGGAAAGAAATCAGGATCCCTACCCCACAACCAAACCCATGATATTTACCTTCAATCAAGAACTTGCCCAGTACCACTTTCTGCTGCAGACTATCTGTTTGCTTGTTTGTTTTGAGCACAGGTCAACAAAATGTCCCTAATCCTCAACACACAATACATCCTGGCATTTCTTGCAGTGTCATGCAACAAGATTCTTCCTAATTCTTCAACTTCTGTCCTGTAACACAGTGCCCAATGCGGGATCTTGATTGACTTTGGTCACCTTTTCTGGGCCGTATTGTTGGTTTAAGGTAAAGTTGAGTTACTCCCCCCAGCCCTTATTTTTTCTATAAACCTGTAAGTGTATATAAATAGAGCAGTGAGTCACTTTGGTGCATCACTGATAAAAAATGGAATTTGATTAGTGATCGATATATCTCTCCCTTCCCAACTAACATGAATAATGCAATGTAGATATGCAAGTAAAAATATTCAGATTATTCCATTTTAAACTGCAATCAAGCTATTGATGGATTTCAGGAAGATCAACAACAAGGTACTGTAGGATTGCGTTATTTTCCATTCCCTTCACACAGCCAGCTGAGCATATTAGAAGCACAAATTGGCACTACGTATATGAGAAGACTTTTCAGTGTGATAGTGAAGTATCATGGCAACAGCAAGGTGAATGCTAAGGCAGCCTTGTGTCAGATGCATTGCTCCCTCTGGTCGCACGTTCTGGATTCCTTGGTTTCTCAGCACCATTTTAATATGAGTTAAAGCACTTAAATAACCCCTGTTTACTTCGCAGTGTGAAAATACTTATAAATCGCTGTCAAAATGTATTAGAGATACTGAGAATACACAGACAGCATAATCACTGAGATACTCTAAAGACATACTAGGCTCCACAGTTAAAAGCAGTCAAGTCTCCTATACCACAGATGGCTTTTGTTAGTATGTGGGAAATCCAATGCAGTTTGTATGTCTGTGTTTGTTGGAATCCTTGATGCTTACATTCTCAATACTTGTGCAACTGTGCAGCAAGCAACAAGGAACCAGGGCTGTATCACTGCTGACCCACTTTCACACACACCTCACATTCAGGGGTGTCTGAGATCTGCAATGCATAAAAATGTATTTAAAGCTCCTCTGGATGGAATAACCCAGTCTAATGTGCAATCACACGCTGCCTTCAGGACACAAGTTAGCACAGATTTAGGGATAAAAATGCATTGCTGAGACCAGCTGCTTTAAGCCCCCTGAAGGCTTTACCACCACTCAGCCAGACCTAGATTACCTACAATATTTTCAAGTGTTGCAACTGCATCCGTATCCTTCAGGTTACAATGTAAAAAGATCTCTTGCTTAATTTGGCTTCTAGGCAAGTCTCAGATGCAATGCCTCTAGAATTTTAATTGCCCTGCTTACAGGTTTTGGCCCTCTTTAAGTAACTAAATCAAAATACAAGTCTTATGTTGTTCTCAGGCTGTAAAGATGTGGCCTCATTTTTACCATACATCCATTTTTGCCATGCTTTTAGACAGGACTTTAGGAAAGGATTTATACATTAATGTTTCCACTCAGTGGAATGAAGACCATGTCCCCCTTTTTCTTTTGCAGTAAACTGGAACTAACCATGTTGATTTTTGTTGTTGTTTTTAAGTGCACCTTTTTTTTTTTTTTTTTTTTTTTTTTTTTTAATTTATCAAGACAACTTTACTAGATATTCACTAGTAACTGTGGGAAAACATAGAATTCATATTGTTCTCAGTGTGGGGCCAATGTATCAAATATGTATCAGTTTTCAAAGAAACAGTGTACCTGCAGATTAAGAATCTGAAATGCTTAAAGCTTAAAAAAAATGGCTTGCAAAAAAAAATACTCTATACCAAGAGAGACTGGCAGTTCAGAAGTGCTACTTCTTAACCCTTTTCCTTTTCCACTTCAAAGAGAAGGCAGGAAAGAGGCTGATCAGGGCTGCAGATGTGAGTGCCTCAAATTAAGCTTGTATATGGGCAAAATCCTGCTTCCATAGAATGAGAATAGAATGCTCATCCCTTTTCTCTATTGCTAGGCTCAACCTTCTGCATGTTCTGGCACAAAGCACATGCTGAAACCAGGCAGTCGGCCTCGTTGGCAGAGTACAGCTAGTACAGAGCCATTCAACAGTGAATAACATACATTCATTAGGACAAGGATGACATATGTAGAAAAGAAATAAGACGCCCAATCTATGCACTCAGAAGTAAAGGACAGTCAAACAAGTAGGCTCAAGCATATCAATCAGTAGTAGGTATGGCAAACAGCCGAAAAAGAGGTTTGTTCTGGAGGGGTTTCCACCAGTGATCAGCTACAGCACAACAAACTCTGCAGTACAAATTTTTGTGGCAATACTATCAAGTCATATCCCAACCCAATGACATGGCAAGGAAAATTCACAGCATCACCTTTCCAAAGGGATACCTCCTGGCACCTAGGCTTCCTAACACGAGCCAGGAGAATGCTAAAGCATTTCTAGAAATGAAAGTTTTCACTGAGTATTCAAAGCAATAAGCTCTCTTATGCATTAGTCCAAGAACATTTTGGTGCCTAGACAAACGATGCACCCTCCTTAGCATCTTACAAAGGGAACATATAGCTAATAAGATAGGAAGCACCTATCCAGATTATCCAAAATTACAAGGCTGCACAGCCCAACTCATGAGCACTAATGCCAAACACCAACTTCCATATCTGCAAGTCATTTTCACGTGAAATACCATAGAGTGAATTGCTTGCCCTGTTTCAGTTTGCTAAAACTGGAACTGCTACTGACTCTTAATACAACCTACCTCCTGTTTAACACAGGGAAGCATAACCCGAGTAGAAATGAAAACAACTGACATCTGCCAACAGGAAGGAAGGAATCAAATACTGTCCTAAGGTGAAGATTTCCAAGGCAACAGCTAATTTGTTTGCTAAGCCCAGCATTCAGTCACAGCCTCTCTGCTGCAAGCACTGACGTGTGTGAAACACTAACCTTCATCACTTCAACCTGCAGGTCTTCGTTGAGCGAAGGAGTCACTTTGACGGCATTCAGCATCTGATTAAGCAACTGTTTCTCATCTGAGTCTGTTTCCACAGATACAAACCTCTCATCAGACAGCAGCTTCTGCAGAGAGAAAATGGCAATGCACAGGTTGAAGACAGAATGCCTTTAATTCTTCTGTAAACTGCTACACCAAAACCTATTAACATTTGGTACTACAGTGCCTAGGTTTTATGTACAAGTTTAAAGGTGATCCAGTATCATCAAATATGAAAGCACAGCAAAACCTGAGAAATCCATGCCCTGAGTAAACATCTTTCAAATCAGCTGCCATTCCAGCATTTCCTTTCCCCACCCCACCTCTTGTGTGTCCAGAAGAAAAAAAGAGATCACAAACCACTCCAAGTAATGCTTCCCATCCCCTCTAAATGAATTTAAGCAAAACAAAACAAAACACTCAGACTAGTGTCCTGGCCTCTGGCTAGCAGATACCCTGCCTGGCAGGAGATAAAGACTCAGGTGTCTAAAATTCTATTAGGTACAGAACAAAGCATGGTGGAGGTGGCGTTTCTGATCACTGACAAGATGTGTTTTGTGTCATTCAAAATCTGACTAACTGCGGATGCCGTCAAGTCCTCAAAAGGAAGAACACTGCTAGCAAGTAAACAGCACAAGGACCACAAATGCGTGGGAGGGTACCCAGGAGCGGGTTCAATACAGATTGAGTGAACTTCACACCGATCAGATATCCTTTGCGTCAAAAAAGCCAGTACCAGAGCCAGTGTCTCCCAGCACCTGGGTATATGTGAGGCTGAGGGATAACTGAGGAATCAGCATGAAAATATTTGTGGAATCGAGGAGACTGTCACTAGGTTCTGTGGAAGCCTATTTTCATGCTTGAAAGCAGGACTTGGAGCATCACTTAACAGCTCTTCGTGTTATGTTCTCACATCCCTGAGTTAACCACATCCAATTTCAAGATTTCAGTTATTTCACACTTCTTCCATAAGGACCAACATGTTTCTAAAAAAAAAAACAAAAAAAACAAACAACGTCCACATTGCAGCCTCAATTTATTCACAGCCAGTTCATGACCATAAGCTTTCCTCAGTTATCAGCTGTCAAAATAGAACACTATTTTCTCTTCATGCTTTCTCTGAAGTTCATTTTTTGTTTTACTTTTTTTTCTTTTGTGTTTGGTTTGCTTTTTTCAAGTATGTTTGCTATTTTCTTGTTTGTTTTTTTCTTTGTATTTTTTCTTTTGTTGTTTGTTTTTGTATTTTTTTTATTGTTTCTTTTTTGTACTTTATTTGATTTTTGTGTTTTGTTTTTACTGGATGTTGTTTGTTTTGCTTTTTTTGTTTGTTTTTATTGCTTTTCTTTTTTGTGTTTTTGTTTCTTTTATTATTTTTTTTGCTTTGGTGTTTTTGTTTGTAGTTATTTTTTGTTTATCGTGCTTTGCTTTTGCTTTGTTTTAAAGCCCTGCTTACGTTCACTGAACCTGGACAGACTAGGCCCTGTTCGAACTCTCCAGCAAGACTGACACTCTCTCAAATACTGTAACAGCTCATCCCAAAACTGTTTTCAGTGCAGCCTTAATAAGGAGGGAGAATTAAATCAGAACCGTGTAACTGAAGCACAGGGGGTTCTGACTCAAGACAAGGGGGCACCTTCTTTACTGTGAGAGTGACAGAGCACTGGGACAGGTTACCCAGAGAGGCTGCAGAGCCTCCTTCTCTGGAGATATTCAAACCCCGCCTGGATGCCATCCTGCAAAATGTGCTCTAGGTGATCCTGCTCAGCAGGGGTGTTGGACTAGGTGATCTTCAGAGATTCCTTCCAACCTCAGCCATTCTGTGATTTGGTAAAACATCACGAGGACATGGCCAGTGGAACTACTTCCTCAAAGTTCTATGGGAAACATATCTTCCATATAGTCCAGAACCACCTTCACAGGTACCTCTCACTGGTGACAGGCATCCTGCAAGAGATGGACCCACTCAAGTCTTTTCCCAGAAACAGCCTTCTTAGAAGCTCCTATTGCAGCACAAAACTACCCTGACTTCGTTCCCAGGAACAAAACCTTGCTCTGTCCCAGACCAGATGTAGAGCAGCCCACTTTACCCTGTACATTCTGCACCGCTTTTGTCCCCAGGCTCCTTCCCAGCTTTAAGTCTGCAGCACATTTCACTGGTTCATTCCCACTTTATATTTTCTGCACTTATACTAGTTTTGGCTGTGATGAAGTTAATTTTCTTCACTGTAGCCCACATGGTGCTATGTTTTGGATTTGTGACCAAAACAGCACTGAGAACACGCTGATGTTTTAGCTATTGCTGAACAGAGCTTGCACAGCATCAAGGTCTTTTCTGTTCCTCATGCTGCCTTGCCAATGAATAGGCTGGGGATGCACAAAAAGCTGGGAGGGGACACAGCCTGGACAGTTGGCCCCAGCTCAAAAAAGTAGTATTCCCTACCAGTATGGCATTGTGCTGAGCAATAAAAGTTGGGAGGCAAAAAAAATGAGTAATGGGTAATAAAAAGTGTCTGAACATCTGCCTGCCAATGGCAAGTAGTAAATGAATTACTTATTTTGCTTTGCTCGTGTGTGCAGCTTTGCTTTGCCTATTAAACTGTCTTTATCTCAACCACAAGTTTTCTTACTTTTGCTCTTTCAGTTCTCTTACCCATCCTGCTGTGGAGCAGCAAGTGAATAGCTGTGAGGTGCTTAGCTGCTTACTGGGGTTAACCCACAACATTTCAAAGAGTTTCCACACAGTAGTATTATCAATTGTTTTTATCAGCATCCAGCCTAACAAATATAAAGTCAGTGTACAAGGAAAGTATGTTTTTCTATACAAAGGAGAAGACATTTAATTTGGTATGAGAGATATGGAACTACTGGAGACAATACAGTGAAGGGTCACAAAGACAATTAAGGTACAGGAGCATCTTTTCTACAAGGAAAGGCTAAGAAAGCAGGGCCTCTTCAGCCTACAGAAGGCTCAGAGGGATCTTATTAATGCATATAAATACCTGAACAAAAAGGAAAAAAGGTGCAAAAAGAACATAGATGGGCTCTTTTCTGTGGTAAGGGATGGGTTTCTTTTCAGTAGCAGGACAAGAGACAGTGGGCACCAACAGAAGTTTCCATCTAAACATCGTGAAACACTTTCTCGCTGTGTGGGTCATGGAGCACTGGCACAGGTTGCCCAGAGAGGCTGTGGAGTCTCCTTGCTTGGAGATCTTCAAAAGTCACCTGGACATGGTGCTGTGCATCTGTCTCCAGGTGGTCCTGCATGAAAAGCAGGATAGGACCAAGTGACGTCCAGAGGTCCCTTGCAACTTCAACTGTTCTGTGATCCTGTGACCTACCTTTCCTGAATGCAAGTTGTACTTCATCTCATTTGTCCTTCTAGCCTACTTTTATAGTATCCCCACGTGTTTGTTTGTTTTTGTTTTAATTTTTCATGAATCTTCACATATCTTAAATGCAGATGAAGAACTGTTTTGTTGTCTGGATTACTCTTTTACTCTTCTAGATGGACATTAACACTTACTTATGGCACCATGCTGTAAATCCAAAACCTTGTAATTCTAGTTCTTACAGAATCCAAGCATATGTGCAGCTACACATTGACAGAGTAAGACAGAGTAAAAGGATAATAAATTTTATCTTGACTGAGTGTTCCCAAGAAATGCAGCACCTGGACCCCTTATTGACCTCTTCATCACTTGACTCAGTTTAGTTTTTAAGAAAATAAGCAGTGGTAAGGCTTATTGAGAGTAGAATAGGGCCACACAAGGAAGGACTACACCTCCATCTCAATGCTGAAAGCCAGGAACTCCTATGTATCTCCAGAACATTTTAAACTTCCACATAATCTACAGCCTTTACTTGCACCCTAGATTATGAACTCTGTTACAGAAACATGAACGTCATTGTTACATCCACCAGGAGACAGACATATTTCTGTAGTATTTTTCAAAAGAAAAGCCTAGATCTCCTTGGCACCTGCTACCTTTCCTACTACCCCCTTCCTGCTCCCTCCTCTCCCCCCCAGATCCATACCTGCATCCCTGCTAGAGCCTGCTGGGCCAGCTTCACGCTCTTCGATTCCAGCGCCAGTTGGAGAGGAAGGAGACACTTCTCCCTGAAGTTAAAAAAATAAATAAATGTGAGAGGTAACAATGGAACTAAAAATTGGTATTCAAAAGAACTATGGTTCCAGAAAGGCTGTATCACTTCCAATAAGATAACACTTGGATGCAGTAAACAAGGACAGTTTCACAACAACTCTGTGAGGACACTTTTCCCCTCTCAAGAAAGCTGACATATGTCTTCACATTCTGTTAAAAATGGCCTTTTTAATTGAAATTTCACAAAATGCTTCCTAACTGTTAGCCCTCTGTGTGCATACCCGAATGTGCAAAGCATGAAGGGGAGATTCACAGATCACTGGTGGTTCTTCAGCTCAGTGCTGTAAGCATTACGCTTCAGTCCTTTGACTTCTGTTTAACATTCAGACTGACAGGAAAATAGTTTCATATTCCACTTTCTGCTTTTGACCCAGTGCTCACATGCTGAACTTTTATTTGGTGACCAAACCAACATTGCCTGTAGCTGTGACTGCTCTCTTTACTCCTTGTTATGAATCAGAAAGGGTCTGCAGCACCTGGAGAACCCTTAGCAGCTAACAAGCCTTTTTAAGCAAATCTTGCTAGCTGGCAGGAAATTCATTCCTGATTGGAGATACTTAGCCCCTGTCTGACCAGTCTCCCTGAAGGTTTGCAACTCTTTATTAGGTCACATATCATAAGAGGCACTTATCTGTACCCAGAGTCCAGTTTTCAATTTGTATAGACATGCCTGCTTATGGCAAAGCATTCTGTGCCAGCCCTCAAGAGCCTCAGCTCTCCAACCTTTTCTGGGATCACTTGCATGAATTTCCCACCCATAGAGACAAGTGGGTAGAAAGCAAGAAGGAAGAGACAACAACTAGTTTTTTATTTAACTGGAAATTAAAAAGCCCCAATTCGTTCCATTTGGAGCATTCTCTTGTGTTAAAGTCTCAGTGCATTCAAAACTAAACCCATTGGTCTTCTCAAAGCAGAGTCAAAGGTGTTTAATCTCTAAAATACCAAACAAAAGAGTTTTCCCTCTTTTTCTATTATTTACTGTGAGCCATCTTGGACCTGATTTCACTTAGTTTCAGTTGACCAAATGATGATTATTTGCCAAAAGGTATATAAAAATAGAATTATCTTGGTATTCTTAAGGATCAAGTTCTGATGAAAACACATGCATTACAACAGGGTACATAATCTGCTGCTCCTTTTGTAAATCATCCCTTCCTAACTAGCTAAGGAGAAGCCCTAGGTTAGAGCAGCAGTAATTGCTGCAGTTTCAGGCAATCTTCAAAAATGCCTAAGACCACGCTTTACCACAATCTGCCCATAACCTACCAGCCTCCCTCCAAAACTGAGGGTCTACAACATGAACTTGCCTTTTTCAAACAAAATGAAACAAAACCAACTAAAGGTGGGATTACCAAACAGTGGCCCTTTCAACTTCAGGGAACCCAGCTCACAACTCATTCATTAGATACCATTTGCAGCAGGGACTGAATGTCCACTATGAAAGTCAACTTTTTTTTTTCCCCCTATGGGTTCAGTTTGTATTCTTTTTTCTCCCTCCATCTGACCCAAGAAGGCACTCAAATCACAAGGTCTCCTTAAGGGGCACAAAACTGCTGGTTGTTCTTTGAAATGCAGACCCTCTTCCTTAACAATAAATTAAAGACTGGTGTCACAGGTCTTAACAATAAATTAAGGACTACTGTCACAGGCATGGCTCAGTTAAGCAATCTAGTAAGCTTCTGTATTTGACAAAGATCTCTGGAGAATCTGAAGGTCTACTGTGTTTGTACCTTCCCAGGTTCCAGGAATTTGTAAAAGGTCATTTGGCTTAACACCAAAAGCAGCTTGAATATAACCTCGAATTAACACAGATTTCTAAAGACCTTCAAGCAGACTACATGTATATCTCAAAATAGGTTTCCCACAAAAAGCTCGCCATTTGCTTCACTCAGAATAGTCTGAGAAATAGGCAGGCATAAAGCCCAATTTTCTCAGAAAATCCTTTCTTGAATGCTTCTGGAATCGATTTAGCTAGAAGGACTCTTAAAACCTGCAAGTTTCACATCCAAAACACCTAAAATTATTCAATATCGGGGATATATGTCCTCAGAGCGTTCAATCATCTAGACCTACAGAAACTGCCAAAACATCTATTCCATGGTTCAGACAGCAATTCTTTAGCCAGGATAGAACTGAGCACCAGCTACAACTACTGCCAGCTTCACCTAAGCCTGGGATTGCATGTAGTGTGCAGGTAAATTGGGAGAAGACTTACTGGTTTAGAGAGGTACCACAGCAGTACTTCTCTAACACACAAAGCACGTTTAAGTGCTTATCTTTACACAGTCACTTTGACTTACGGTCTCTTTTAAAACCTGTTGTCAATATCATTCTGTGTGGGCAAACTCACATTTGAAATTAGTAGATCAACAGGTGCCAGAACCAGGTCCCTGTGCATTAACTAGTAATCAAACAGCCAGAAACACAGGGGAAAAAAATAAAATTAAGAAACAAAGTCACAATAACGTATAAAACTAACCATAGGGATGCTAAAAACTGACAGTCTAAATAACTGCACCTCTTGAGGGAAGAACACGGTTCTTTTAGCCTTTCTACAGTTCACTGCAGTAACATATGAAGATTTGAGGCATTACTAACAAACATTCTCATATTAAAGCGGATGGAGTAGAGGAGAAAGGGAAGGCAGTCGTAAGTCACTGGACTGGATCCAGTTTAGTTTCATTATAACGAAGACAGGTGGGAGCTCCTATGGCTTATGTGTAGCTACCCTGCACATCAGCATGGTGCCTGCCATCTGTCGTCACATACTGTAATCAGCAGAGAACAATGAGAGCTGCTTCTTGAGATACCTCCCAAAATGAAGAGCAAAAAATGACAAACAGGAGGATGGAAATTAGAACAGATTCAATTAGCTGAACTTCTCATCCCTGCTAAAAATATTTTAACTGAAAATCTAATTAAGGTTACCGCAGCCTCTGTGCACACTGTATTTTCAGAGAAAATGAATTGCCATTGTGTCACTTCCTGTTCTTCTTATACATTCAGCCTGTTAAATCTTCAGCATTTCCATGCTACAGCTATAAAACACCTACAGAGATACCTCACAACCTCTGATTAGCTTGAGCATCTTCCACACTTGGGTTTGACCTGCCATTTAAGCTCATCATCTGCTGGTATGAGAACACAGAGGGTCCAGACAGACAATCCTCAGTTAGAACGGGAGATGATATAAATTAACATAGTTGGTCCTTATTAAGATCTACCATTAAAAACTGGATTCAATAAAGTTGCACAAGAGATAACATCAACCATAATTTGGTCTCAGAATGCAATTAAGGAAGGGAGTGAAGTTTCCCTTATGCCTTGCAGCCATTTTATGGCAGCAGCCAGTTCTGAGTGGTCCCATGGTCCCCTACCACGGGATCACATTGCTTACTCCCATACGTGCAGGTCTATACTATCAAGTGACAACTCATTCAGCTTGCATGGTGCTACACATATACGACATTTCATGTGAAGTTCTCAGAATAAGCTAGTGCACACTGACATACTTTAAAACAAGTATGTTTTCTGTTTAAGTTACCGTAGAGATTCCAGTTTCACACCAGAACACCTAAGTTTCCTTATTAATATGGGCAGGTGTTCACACATACCCTTACAGATATTGGCACAAATACCAGCTTAAACCTGAATGAGGTGAGTCAGGTACAACACTGAGGGGGCATGAACAGAAAGGGGCACCTCTGACTTGGAGAAGAGGAAGCTACCAAAATCTTCAGGATCTGGTACCCTAGTCATGAACGTAAACAAAGCAATTAAAATGGAAACTGGAGGGAAGCTTATATTGTATAAAGAAAGACTGACAATGAAGAAAAAGTGCACTCAGATTGAAGTAGTATATTATACTGCAATCTACATCGCATTCTGGAAAACATTGTTTGTATATGTCCATGCAGTAGTGCTCCCAAAAGAGCTCAGTTTAAAAAAAATAAAATAATAATGTGTGGCAATAGGCATGGTAAGTGTGGACCTTGTTTCATGCAAAAGAGTCAGCAGAGAGCACTACAGATAAAAACTCAGCTCCTAATGAGGCCAGCTGGAGCTTTGCCACTAGACCTCCACAGTGTGTGGACTGAATCCCAAGTGGCCTGCCCAGGGTCAAGCAAAAATGTCAGTGACAGAAGCAAGCACGCACCCAGGAGCAGTATCTTCAGGAGCACAGGTTGTCCCTCCTGAGCCACCCCTACCCACCACTGACAGCTTCATGAACTGCAGAATAAGCCATGGGAAGGTAAATAGCCTTTATGTTCAGCACTCTGAGTAAAAACAACCTTTCTAATAGTCCGAGCGTGCCACGGCTCATCAACCTGCCTCTTACCCTGCAGGTCTGTCACAAGGGATGATCCGACAGGCCAGTCAAAACACACTGCCAAAAAGGGCAGGCAGGGCAAGGCAGCTGACTATTTTAAATAAGAGATCATAAAATCTTTCTATCCTCATTGTAGTGGAAAAAGCTGAGAGAATAATGGCTAATTATTCAATCTCATGATGAAAATTGTAACGATGACAGGGAACGGCTCACTTAACTCTTTCTTGTTAGCACCCGGCACGCAGCCCGAGGGCCCACTGTCACCTCCACCAAGCTGACCCCGGGGCAGGGGCACTACAAACCAAATATTTGTCACCACCATAGAAGTTATTTCCTTTCATTTAAACCACTTTAGTTGTTGGGAAATGGATTAAAAGGAGATTAAAATAAAACATCTCCCTGCATTATCTTTGCCCTGAAAATTGTATCGGAGAAGAAAAACTCAGAACCTCGGGGCTGATTACCTTAGTTATCAGCATGCAATTTGCCTTCCACAGGATAGCTCACAACCCAGTCAAAGAACAGGTAATGACTTGATTCATTGTTGTTGCCATTTTTCCAATAAGCTGTTTGTTAGGCAGCAACACAGTCATAGCCAGAGCCTGACATTTTTCAGTCAGAGCA